AAGTAGAAATCAGCTTATGCAGTGCAGTACCGAAAGCAAACAATAAGTTAAAGGTGCATAATCCTTGTTGGTTTAAATGTATGATATACCACTGATAGCAATTTTAGGTAAAACTCGTTAATTAGGTTCAGCGTCGGTCATGGGTTAAGTAGTTCCTCAGTGCCATCGCAATGAGGCTGAACCTCACCGTGGTGCGATGGTTTGTGTGCCTCAGCGATCCATTCAGTTATGCTGTACGGTGCTTTCTTGCACCGGCAAAGCCACTCATACCAGAATGATCAATGGTTAGAAGCCAGACAAACTTAACCATCTGGTCCTCCAGGTTGGGGGTTGGAATGAGAGTGGCTCCTTATTCCTTAAAACGGACTCCTTGTAGTCCAATGCCAAACGCGCTGCCTTGCGCTCAAGTTTTGAACCATAGACCTTAGTTGAGAACCCTACTCATTCTCCTGTCTAGGCCTGGGCAAGCTGACTGAATCCTGTCCACACAATACAATGCATCCTTTCTCAAACAAACTCCTGATGCTCTGGCCACCGCAGAGGGTAATCAACGACCCCCTATCTGCTGCATCGAGCAGGATGTATAGGAATTTGGATGCTACTGCTAAATCCCTCCCGTCTTCTTATTCTCCCTCTTACGCGTTTTCTCTTACCCTCACGTTCCAGCTCCACTTGTATCCCCCTTTTTCATCCCCGATTCTTGGCCCTCCTCCACCATGCTTTGATAGGCGTTTAGCTTTTAATTTCACCTTACATGCAAACACGGGGCGTTCCTCTTGCCCTATCGGCAAGCGTATGTTCTAATCAAGCGGTCAAACCCAGTTCAACGGCTTCTGATTGGAGCCCCCGATCCTACCTTAGATTGTCATGCCTCAGTATACACACACTGTTACAGCTCGGTCAACAGGAAACACTTGCCCGAACATTAGGAACCCACTCCATCGATCTCGGCTGCTTACCGGAAACCCGCCAACAATACTAGAGCTCTGTTCTCAATCTGCGATCCCCTTCAGATGACACTAGCAGTACTTTCTTATTGCGCCTTTGGGGAGAGGATGCAACTTCGAGTACCGGTGAAACAGGTTCGGTATTGCCTTGAGTCCCCGGACTGAAGCTGCTCCGATTTATTGAATCCCAATCAGTAGCCGGATGTGTGCGGTCCACGCGGCTGGCTCGTTCAAAGCTACGAAGTTAAGCGGGACTAATAGGTGTCTGTTCATCATGGCTACCCACACCCCCACAAACTGTAGTGGTGGTTCCCTTCCATCGTCAAATGAAGGAGCTCATTCGCCTGAAAAGAAACACGGATATTGTAGTGCTTGCTTGGGATCTGAACGCTCTAGTCGGAACATTCTCCACTGATGAGCTGCATCTGGGCGGACAACATGGTGTAGGCTCCCTTAATGTTAACCGTGAGCGGTCACTACTTGTTTGAAAAGGCTCGCTTATTTCTCGCTAGCATTAACTTCCGACACAGCACTCTTCGGAAGATGACTTGACGCCCACCAGCCTCGAAACAGTTGTGGACGTAAATCGATCACATCGCGATCGGTTATCGCTAGAGAGGCTGCGTTCAAGACTGTCGCTCGATTTGGAGCACATGTGTGGATATTGACCATGCTGATCGGCGGGTGCGTTTTGGCTGTCACCCTCCACGAACCTGTGGGCACATACACATCAGCCAAGTGGTGAAGCCAAGTGTTCTGAACGTGTATCGGAGAACACTGGCGTTCGGGTTGAGTAAGCGCTCAATGAAGACAGTTGAAGGTCACTAGACACATGTTCACCAGACCTTACTCGAAGCAGGTAAATCATCGTGTGCTAAATCCCCTAATCAAAATAGACATTGGATCTCTCCGCAGTCTCTGGAGCTTGTTGATGCTCACCGGCACATTCCGGTTGGAAACGAACACAACGAGATTGGCAAAGACATCAGGGCAAAAACCGTGCTAGCCTGAAAAGAGACCGTGAAGCGTGGTAGTCATCTCGTGCGTCAGAGATAGAAGTGTCAGCTGCCTTTTGTAACCATCGGAAGTTGTTTCGTTTGCTTTGGGAAACGGGTAGCAGAAGACCTGGTGAAACTATACATGACGAGAGTGGACAGTCCATCCACAACTTGGTAAAATGTTTGGAGATTTGGACTGAACATTTAGCAACGCATTTTAATCGGCCGGAATTGTAAGATTCCTCTCTGGTCAGCGATAGCCTTGCCGCCAGAGTTGTCTATTTGTATCTGCTCACTCGCTCAAAAGTCGAACTTTCGATCCGACTGTTAAAGCTGAATAAAGCGACGGGACCAGATGATCTTCATTCGGCCCACTTAAATTCATTGGACCTGCTCATATTGATAAGTTATACGAGTTATTAGTGAAAGTGTAGGAGCAGGAAACTGTCCCAACCGACTGAAGCCGCTCCGTTATTGTCAAGAGCATCAAAGGAGATTCGCGTTCGGAATGCGGCAACGATGGAGAAATCAGTCTGAACACCTTCGCCTCCAAATTGCTTGAGTTTGTAACCCTTCACAGACAGACTGGCACTAGTGAAAGCCAGATTCATGAAGAGCGAGCAGGGTTTCCTAGTAATCGGGGATTCATCGACCATATATTTACGTTACGTCAGTTGGTGAAGCATCGTCATATATATATATATATATATATATATATATATATATATATATATATATATTGGCAGCCCATCGTTGTCGTGTTCCTCGACATCTAAGGTGCCTGCGATTCAGTGAATCTACCTGCCCTTTGGGACTGTCAGCTAAGGAAACGTGTGTTCGAGAAATATATACATATGCTGCGAACGCTTTACGCGCCTAGCTCGGGCACAGTGCGAGCTTATGGCAAGCTGTTGCCGCCCTTCAATATATCCAGCGGTGCAAGACAAGCATACCCGCTGTCACCTTTCTTCTGTAACTTCGCTATTGATGGAACCATGGAGATCGCGTTCCCATGACACGACTTAGAAAGTGTGGAGTTGCTCCCAGATGAGCGACTTCTTGATCTCAAGTCTGCTGACGATATTGCCCACATTTGTGGCATCGCCCAAACATGCCAAGCTGCAATGGACAGATTAGCACTGGCTGTTACCCTTTTGGGGCTATGCTTTGCACCATCGAAGTGCAAAGCTTTCCTCCAATATTGCCAGGGACCGCTTCCTGCGCTGACCCTTGGTGGGGACAAGCTAGAAGTCGTGCAAAAGTGCAACTACCTTGGTAGTTGTATCAGCGCCGTTGAAATTGAAGACAAGGTCACGAACCGTATAGCAAAAGCTCGAGAAACGTTTGCTAACGTTCGCCACCTATGGCGCGGGTGAGACATCACTCCCTGCCTGGATTGTAGGGTATACAATACAGCCGTGCGTTCGATCCTACTGTGTGATTGTGAAACCTGACCCCTTAGATCAGTAGAGACAAAGACGCTAGTTACGTTTGACCACCTGTGCCTTCGCAGTTTGGCTCATGTCTGGTAGGAACACCGTGTAAGCAATGAGCGTGTTCAGCGCCTTATTTATGGCGCAGGAAGAAGAAGCGAACCGCTCAGCACCGTTATTTCACGCACCAGGCTCCGATGGCAGGGCCAGATGTTGCGCATGCCAGCCACCGACTCCTGCGAGCTACGTTGTTTGCGCGCCCCGGGGTGCGGATGGAAGAAGAGGAGAGGTAGCCAAACGGTGTCTTGATCAAGAGGAATGAATGCTCCTTCCTTCGAAGTTTGCCTCGGCTGGAGCCTCTCCTCTGCCTGGATAGGGACCGAGGGACGATGAACACATTTGGCTGGATACACTTGTTGACATTCTTAGGAGCAGACCTCAATGGCGTTTGTGTGGTGAGTCCTTTGGTCCATCCCCCTCCGCTTAGCCTCCCTCCTCAAGCACGATCTCAATAAATAGGCATTGTGTGACTTTTCTGATGTACAATAACCAGCTGTTACCCCACATGAACGATATCCACCCGTTAATTGTGACACAGCCGGCGTGCGTCTGTTTCATTTTTTTCTTTTATATGGTGGCACCACAGCTAAAGTGTTTTCCACCTGCAGCTAGCGTGTATAATGAAGGATGAATGAGTTCCACAGTCGCACCGGAGGTACGTATAGTTAAAGAGGCATTTAGAAGATCTTGCTGCTGTGAGATGTCTGAAACTTTCACACTATCCTTAAACACCATCAATTGAAGTCCTATTTCGCAGGTGGAATATTGTAAGGTGCCATAGGTGCCATCTGAACTATGTAGAAACCCTTCTACTTGACTTGAACCGCAAAATCTGGTCCCCAATGCGTACGCTCAAAAAGTAAGCATTTTGTGGGCCTGGACACAGTTTGCTTTATGCGGTACATATCAAAGGACTGGTTGCTTAAATGTTGACTATCTCTAACGCTACAAATAATATGATTTGAACTAATAATTTTGAAGCGAAATAACTATGGTAGTGGACCAGCGGAGCACTAATTCACCAGTAAATCTCGAGGTCAAGGACAGATTGGCACATGTCTTATCGAGCATACAACTTGAACCTAGCTTAAGTAGCAACTTAGCCCTTAGCTAAGATGACGATGTTTGGAATACTGGATATATGATGCTCGGTAAAACATCCGAAATTCCTTTCCGCCTACTATAACAAGTTAAGAATATCATGTCCATGGTCAATTGTGTAAACCACATTACCGTGACACATGAGTGGCTTTGATACCAAAACCTCTGATCTGACCAAACGCTAGAGCCTCAGCCTAGAACGCACACCCCCACTTCGTTTTTGTACATGCGACTGCGCTTTTCGGATAACCGAAAAATCTCGCTCCAGCTTGTATGACCGTATACCGCTTGTCAGTAAATATACGAATTTATTTGTTTATTTACTGCCATTGTTATATTAATGATGATATTAGTAATATTGACGACAATGATAATAGGCATATTGATCTTAGTCACATTCTCTACGAGATGAGACACCACCTCGCAAGTTGTCCACTGTCTATCTCACCATCTCTTCCCAGTGTTGGACAGTGACAATGAGTATCGACAAGAGCTGACGGTTGGACGGCTTGAATCTGGGAAACAAGGTAATACACGCATTCTATCGGCAATCGATGGTTTGACATGCCGGAATTCATCCGAACTTCGTTTCCCTGTGATGAGGAATGTTTCATTTTGTTCATTTCCGCATTTGCTATATGCCAACAAATAAAGCTTATACCAACCTGCATTTCGAGATTACTCAGTATTAAAAAGACCGCTCCCACCGCGGTGGGCACAAGTATCCAGAATAGATTACGACAATGCTGGACTTGTAAGCTATTGTTCACACAATTTTGGAGGTAGAAGACAAAAGGGTAGAAACATTCACGGGTGTTTCCTGGTCTATGAAGATATCACAGATATAAGAGGATTCTGCTGGTGTCAGCGACCATATTATACTAAAGTTCAATGTATGAAAGCTACTGAAGCAAAAAAGAATTTGCGAGATTCGGTCCAAGATGATGAATATGTTCACTGGAAAGTTGGCCATATTAATGACGAAAAACGTATCTGAAGATTTAACTTCTGGGATGACTGGTTGATTCCACGAGTTTTTCGAATCCAAACGCGTAATAGCTGATCGTTTAAGCGAATTCGTCATCGCCTGCGATAAACTAGTTTTTAATCGATGTGTGTTGCGTTACCGCTGCGGATGTAGGTTGCCAGCAAATAGAAGAACGACTAAATAGACTCGGAATGCAGCTGTCTCAAATAAGTAAAATGCACGTGTACGTCTTTAAGAACGTAAGTTGCTGGTTAGCAATGGAGACAGCGAGGAATAATTCCAGTGATGTTGTCAACCAGCCGTACAGCCTCACTCTATCCGCGCTGTCTCTAAATCCTGAATTCCTACTCAATTATCGTCATACATTATTGTGTTTACGTTCATTCGAACCAGTTCGAGGAACCCTATCCACTGTACACCACTCATTGGATTTATCTTGTTAGATTTTATAGTCATTCCAAGTCACAATATTCACACATTCTTTACCTGCATCAATGTATGAAAAAAGCAACGTTTCCGGGCTTGCACCCAAACATGTATACTCATTTGAACAGACATTATCATACCTCTCCATCAGACCGTTTAACACCATTTTCTGACATTCGGGTCTACTTTTCCTGCAGCTTTAGCAACCGACACATGTGCGTCTGTTCTCAATTCTGGTCCTAGCTTCAAACACAGCCCCAAAATCGAGGCATCGAACGGCCCAGACCGGTTTACGCAGTTTCAACGAACGATAGACCTTGTGCGGTCACGACAAGGCTTGACGCATTCAAACCGCCGGCCGTCAGCCCTCTCCCATAGTGAGCGAGTTTGCACGTGTTTGTGTCACGTGTACGCCTAGAGCACAGAACATTCAGCGAGCGTGTGACGGTGTCATTGCCACAGCGACTGCTAGAATAGACCTCGGGTTGATCGTTTCAAGTTACGAACTGGATTGGCGATGATAATGGCACGCACTTCATGCCCACGGACAGTGAAACCAAAAGCATATTGTGTTAACTGTGAAGGCAGTTTCCAGCATGTACGAACGGGAATAAAATGGAACATATTCAATCAATGAACAATGAACAATGAATTTATACGGGTTAAGAAGCGTTGCTTTACAAGCCCCGTTGGATAGTTGGTGGGGATATCAACATAATAATTATGATGAAAAGGATAGTAAAATAGTTAACACTTTAAGTACGAAAATAAGGACTTATCGTTTGCTTCGCTGCAGTCCTGCGATCCACTTAGATTCACAACACCCACAGTTAACAACAAATAATTCCAGGGTAAACTCCAGGTGTAGGATGGAGACATAGTGTTAAGTAACAAAGTGTAAGTGGATGAGTGCATCGTCCAACAGTCTTTTAAATACTGTTAGTGTCGGTGCAGAGACGACCGATTCTGGGAGAGCATTCCACGGGTGACAGACACGGATGGAAAAGAAATTTCTCCGGCACTCCAGACGACTGTATTGTTCTGCGAGTTTTAATGAGTGGCCCCTCAGGTTTGTATTGCTGCTGAGTTGCAGTAAAGGGCGGCACACATGATGTGGGTCTCGCAGAATCAAGTATGCCATAATCAGGTCACCTCGTAGCCTGCGATAGCTTCCACTGAACAATCCCAGTCGTCGCAGCCTCTCCTGGTAGGACAGATTGCGCATTCCAGTTACGTTCTTAGATGCCCGACATTGTGGCTGCTCCAGTGCATTAAGGTCGTGTTTCAGCCATGGATGCCAGGCTTGAATTGCGTATTCGACATGGGGGCGAACATACGCACTGAGCATTTGTCGAGATATGGAGCTGTTTATTTGTCCAAACGCCCGCCTCAACAGCCCAACGTGTTGGTACCCGGTCTTCGAAGCCTTTTCGGATTGCCTGGAGCAACCCAAGTCATCTTGAACCAGGACACCCAAGTCACGTTCGAGAGTTGATTGTTGCAGTACATCCGTTCCGAGTCGGTATGAGTAGCTGCCGTGATGTCGGATGGAAAGCACCTTGCATTTACTGGCGTTGAAATGCAATAAGTTTTGGATCGACCATTGATACACTGTATCTAAGTCACTTTGGAGCACATGTTGGTCGGCGTTCGCCTGGATCCTGCGCCAGATCTTGATATCGTCGGCAAACATTAGGAAGTTTGAAGCGATTCTCTGTGCAACGTCACTAATAAACACCGAAAACAAACGTAGATCTAGAACTGAGCCTTGCGGCACACCACACCACACTTGTATGGGATCCGATGAAGAGCTCCGAACTCTGACCACTAATTGCCGTTGAAGTAGAAGTTGGCGATGCAGCTTAAAAGAGGGTCTCCGATCCCGTAATGCCGCAGCTTGGATAGTAGTATCCGATGGTCTAGACGATCGAAAGCCTTGGAAAAATCCAGGTAGATCACATCAACACCTTCTCCAGCGTCGGCTGCCTCGGTCCAACTACTGTGTGCAATGAGTAAATTAGTTGTACATGACCGCTGTCGACGGAAACCGTGCTGTTCAGGAGTGATGAGGTTGCAGTTTTCCAGATAGCACACCAGTGCTTCGGCAACTATGGATTCCATGACCTTGGAGAGTATAGGAAGAAGGGTTACCGGGCGGTAGTTGGAAGGATCAAATCTGCTTCCACCTTTGTGAATCGGGCTTATTATTCCAAGATTCCACATGGCGGGAACTTGGTTCCGGTCTAAGCAGTGCTGAAAAAACTGAGCTAAATGTCCTGCCAGTTGGTTTGCTGCTACTCCCAATGCCTCAGGACGAATGGCGTCGACACCCGGCGAGCTGTGTTTGCGTAGAGAAGTCAGCTTTTGCAATACAGCCTCTGCGGTAAAATTGATGTGGGTTAGTCCTGGTGAGCAGAATACAAAGCTTGGTAGATCGCTTGGTGGCAAGACTCTTTGAAACGTGGGGGCGTATTGCATCTGCAGCGCGCTTGCAGCTTCCATAGACGTTCTTGTTGGGCCATCATCCGCGCTGAGTGCAGGAAATCCTTGCCTCACCTTTCGTAGGCTATTAACGTGCTTGTACAGCAGTTTGTGGTTAGCACTGAAGGTTTTTTCGATGTTCTGCTGATAGGCGGCTTTGTCTTCTCTTAACAGTTGAGTGCAGTGGTTACGTTGGGCTACGTAGTTGTCCCAAGTTTCTGGTGCTGGAGCTTCTCTGTACACTCGCCATGCTGCGTTGCGTACTGTCATCCATTTTCGGGTTCTGCTCCTAACGAAAGAAACGGATTTGCACTTATTGAAAGCTTTTATCTCTGAAGCCTGCGCAATCAGCTGACTGAATGTGTTGACAAACTCGAGCCAGGCGACTTCCGGGGGGTTCTTCTTCGAGGAAAGACTATGTTGTGGCGCTGACTAGCTGGGCGAGTCGGTCGTACCTTGTGATGGTTCGCACAGTCGCATCTTTATCATTCCGATATTCTGCATAGCAGACGAAGTTGAAACTGATGACTGCATGATCACTGCGACCCAACGGGCAGTCTAAAACCAACTCATCAATCATATGCTCCTCGTTGGTAAGCACAAGATCCAACACAGATGGCCTGTTACCAGTTCTGAACCGAGTGGGCAAAGTGATGTGGTTGTAAAGAGGAGCAGTCGTTACTAGATCTTGTAAATCGGTTTTGAATTGTTCGCCGGTTGTGGCAGGGGCTTCTAAACAATGTACGTTGAAATCACCCATGAGAAGAATGTGAGTGTACTTTTGTTGTAAACTGCACCTTAAAGCAGCCATTAGGTGGTAGTCGGTTTCGGGTGTTGAGTTAGGGGCGCGGTACACCAAGATAATAAGGCAAGCGTCCCTGCCTTTTAACTGCAATCGGCACCAAAGAGAGTCGGGGAACTGCGAATCTGAATCCTCCACGGCTTCGCACTGTAAGTCGTCTCGGTAGTACAGGATTACCCCTCCTCCTTTTGTGAGCCTATCGTTCCGGATCAGCGACATGCCGGGTAGCGACACTTCAGCGTCCGTCATTCCCGTGTGCAACCATGTCTCGGTGATACCAATGACATCATACGAGCCGGAAGCTTGGCGATCTTTCAGTTCAGCCAGTTTGTTAGAAAGTCCCTGAGCATTTGTATACAAGCAGGCCAGTTTCTCGGTCTCTAGGAGCCCGCAGAGAGGTGAAGCTGTCAAGTGTGGGAGAATGCCGACCGATGGGAGGTCGGCAGTTATTCGTTTTTTTGATGGGTCAATGATACCTCGTTTGCAATTTGATTCGGCCAAGGTGCGTCCCAGCCTTCGTTTAGACCTACTTCAGAGTCAATTAAAGCAGCAGTCAAGTTACACTTCTGTACATTCGTCAGGATGCTTGCTGCTTCAGTTGCTTTAATACTTGAGCTGTGCAAATTGTTTGCGACCTTTAACCGAATTTCGGAAGGAAGGTGTTTCCGATTTCTCCGCCATCGATCCAAAACATCCTTTGCTTGTTGCTCTGACTGAACCACAAGTTTTAGAATTCTAGGGCCGCATCCTCTATAATTCGATGAGAGAGGTATCCTGGTGAGCGATAGTGCCACAACATCATCCAAAGAAAGTGTTTCACGAATGAACCGCCACTGTTCTAAATCGTGCTTTCCGGTATCTTGAACATGGTTAGAAGTATGTTCTGGCACGCCATGTATGAAGACTGTGTTTAGGCGGTCTTGCTTGCTGTGCCCCTCTTCGGTGTTTCGTTTTGGTTGTCGCGCGCTCCAAG